TTTATTTTTCAGACACTGGTGCCTGATTTTGTATTTTGGACACTAGTGGCCGATTTTGTATTTTGGACACCAGTGGCTGATTTTGTATTTTGGACACTAGTGGCCGAGTTTATATTTTGGACACAAGAGACCGATTGTGCATTTTGGACACCAGTGGCTGATTTTGTATTTTGGACACTAGTGGTTGATTTTGTATTTTGGAGACAAGTGGCCGATTTTGCATTTTGGACGCTAGTGATCGATTTTGTATTTTGGACACCAGTGGCTGATTTTGGATTTTGGATTTTGGGCAGTAGTGGCTGATTTTGGATTTTGGACACAAGTGGGCGATTTTGCATTTTGGATGCTAGTGACCGATTTTGGATTTTGAACACTAGTGGCCGATTTTGGATTCTGGACAAAAAGTGACCGATTTCCGATTTTGAACACGACTGGCCGATTTTTTATTTTGGACATTAGTGGCCGATTTTGTAGTTTGGACACCAGTGGCCGATTTTGGATTTTGGACGCTAGTGGCCGATTTTGGACATTTTGCATGGGATTTTAAATTGCAACACTACCATTTACTATCATTTTACAACCTTTAAACTTTTATATCAGTAGCCAGATGCAGTCTCAGACTGCCTAGTTTTTGTAGTATACAACCTGAGATTAAAAATGTTACTGTGATAAGTAATGAGGGTTGCCATTAACATCGCGGTACTTCTAATACATAATTGGATATGCAAAAGAAGAGTAGCCCCTAAAAACGTTGCCAGTATCACTATCGCAGAGGTCTGAGCGGACAGCAGAGAGAGTATATCATAGAAATACGCTTCTCACAGCGGAAAAATACTATGTCGTGAGTAGAGGGTTAGTGTTTTCACCACTATAAATCATGGGGATATTTTGCCGCCAAGAAACGGAACTAGCGAGCCAATGACAATAGATCTAAAGAGGGCACTAATAAAGTGAAAAATAAAATTGATTGCTTAGGTTTTGACTGACGAAGGATTTTAAGTATTGCCACCTTTTAGTCTTTTATTGTATATATTTTTTAGTATTTAGTTGTTGCTGTCATCTAATTTTTAGTTCAGTTTTTAGTGCATAATTAGACAATGGATCACCTGAAAACCAGTTGATTTTGCTAAGCGAAAACTCCACGTTGAATGAAGTATCGTATCGTGTCGTATCGTTGATATCGCCAGGCAGCACACTCTTGTAAAAACTTCATAACAGAAATATTTTGAATACTTGCATTGTAGTACTGCACTTTTCGATACTTTAAGCTACAGGTACTATCTGTCGTTGAACATGCTTTATTGATTATGCTATTTACATTGCCGTCAATCAAACGACCGACTTGGCGTGATTTTCGAAGGGTTCGAAAAGTCATTTTTTAGAGCTTTAAAGGAACACACTGTACAAAGTTGCATATGGTGGAATTTTAAAGATGATTTCAAAACAGGGTGACTTCGCAACAAGTTAGCATTTCGAGATGGGGTGTTCCATTCGACGGTAACAAAATGTTAATTGTACTCTTTTTTACAGCAAGTCAGTCTCTTCAGATGCTGAATGCTTCGCTTAATGCAGGGAAATTGTCCCTGTTAACATCATGTCTGCGAAAAAGTTAAAAAAGTATTTTGCAAATCCACTGCAAAGGAGTCGTGATCTTAACTTTTGCCAAATGTTTGTGAGAAGCATGAATATCATCCTTTTTCTACTTATTTTTTTTTCTTCCAACTCCTCTCATTCAGTCCCAGTACTTGATAAGTCCATCCCAGCCACAGGTTACCACCTTTGACGTCTCGTGAGGATGCCACAGGCAAGCGATGCAAACTGCGTCGTGTGCTTTGAACTTGCTGTAAGTCAAAAACAAAAAAATTTAACAAAGAATGTGGCACTATTTTGGTAAATAAGACAAAAACAACGAGTTGTTGCGACAAGGTTAATCATTTTCCCTAGTTTCCCCTTCCCTCATTGAGAAGTGTGTCGACAAATCCAGTTTTGAAGTCTCTCATAGCAGATTAGAGCACTTAAGGATACGTTTGACCTTCGAGAGCAAATCTATTTGAATTTTCTTTTTCATGTCAAACTAAGCATTATCATTTTAACGATAGCTTCCAACAAAAATTTTGGAAAAATATTCAAACGTACGTGAGTTATTTACAAAAACCTATTTTCGATCTGACTTATTTAATATTTATTTATTGAATAGCCAATTATAACATGTCAACATAAATGATCCCGAAGAGTTTCTAGCGGCAAAACATCCTGCTCCTTGTATTCCAATCGCGTAAACATCCCCTGATTTCGGTTGCACGCTCATGGAGATCATTTCTATCTATGTTAAGTCAATGTCACTTCTCTTTATCACTTTAAGGCCATACACTAACATTAGAGAAATGCCTAGTCCATGATTGATACACTTAAGTGTAATTGCAAGCCACGAGTTACCAAAAACACCCTTCACTTCTGCCAAGTCAAAAATGACCACAGTAGCCTTAATGTTTGTAGGTGTAGCGAGGGCGATTTGGATAAAAGTAAGCAACAACTCCTTCACAATAAAAATTCTAATAATGTTAATACTTATATAGCGCCGTATAAATGTGAATATGATCAAATACGTTTTAAAATAACTGAAATAAATATGTAAACCTAACAATTAACAATAATTAAAAAAATCGACATTACTAATATCTGTATATAATCTAATACCTTTCCTATAAAAACTTACAATAAAATACTTTAAGAGGCAAAATATAGATATTATTTATACAACTTATAGTCAGACGTATAAATGCATAAATTTGTTATATGCAGATCTTACGATCATCGACATCACTAATATTTCTATATAATCTAATACCTGTCCTATAAAAACTTATCAAATACTTTAAGAAGCAAAATATAGATAATAATTATTATCTGTGATACGATTAATAGTCAAATGTTCAAAGAAATAGACAAGTGAACGGTCTATAGAAGTATTATAAGCTGACTATAAACCGAGGAATAAACACAAAATCATTTTTCCTACGGTTCAAAAAAAGAAAAAAAAATAGGAAAAAAGAGGCTGATATTACCTGTAGAGTTTTGTTGATTTCCAGTCCCATATACAAAGTTTGCCATCTGCATCGCCGGAAATAAGATAACTACAACGAGAACAAAAGTACAGTCCCGAAAATTATAGTGATTTTAATCAATATAGTTGAAAAAAAGGTCAAAGAAAATCCATACGAAGATCATGTCGATGTATGTATATTTTTACTGAAATTTGATAGCAATGGAAGGAAGACCCCGATAAATATTTTCTACACAGAAAGAAATGGTGTGATAAGGAAGAATAAGAAAAATTCTTCAAACTGTTTTCACTTAAGACATTAATTTTTTTCTTTTTTGGATTCATTTTCAGATAGGTACGAGGTTGAGAACAACGTTTTCGGTTTACCTTCCATCCGGTGAGAAATTTAACTGACAAGCGTAGCCCGCAACCTAAACAAAGAAATAGTTGAGATTTATGTAAGACAATCGCATCAAAAGCTAAAGAATAAATAGATCAAATGGCTTGCTTCTCACCATGTGGCCTTTAAACGTTTTCTTTCGGTTTTGACGGAAACGATTTAGTACTGCGAACACCATGATTTGGTTGTCCATGGACTGACATGCCATCCATTTGTCTGCAGAAAGAACAAAGTCAGTAACTTCATCTGCTTTCTAATTCTCTTTCAAGCTACTACATACTCCCTTAAGCGCGAGAATTTAGTGTTTTATCAGGAGAAAACCATAAAGCTCACCACTTTTTCTATTGCTGAATAACATATTTTTATTGTAGTGGGAGGTTGTATAGTAATCACTCCTGGGAGAAGAGACATCTCTCACCAATCACCAGAGAAGGGCTTGGAAACGAGTGAGGGAGCATGCAGTGAGTCATCTACCAATTGTCGTTCCCATCACACTTTGCACTTGGTACAGTCGTCAAAGATCTTATGTAATAGCGGGGAAGTACGAGCCTAATAATTTCACGGTGGAGGCATCAGGTTATTTAAAAAACACAATGAAATTTAAAACGAGCAACTTACTGTTGGGGTGAAGAGCTACTGCGGGCATGGAGTGCATACTAGGTTCGGCAATATACTTGAAATCCACAGGAATGTCCCTGGTTCGAAAAATGAAACTTATGAGTCAGATGACACAGTCTGCGATGATTCTGAGAAATTCGCCCTGTGCGAGTAAAATGGGATCGAAAGAAAGAAAAGTGGAGGAAGAAAAAGATAAAAAGATGAATAGCTAACTGTGTGTTCCTCGTCTATTGTTTCCGGTCGAATCGGAATTTAGAGTGTCAGAGAGCCAAGAGAAAAACCCTCGAGGAAAGGCGAGAATAATCAACAGACTCAACCCAAATGTGACGTCATACTCGACAATCGAGCCAAGGTCACAGCAATAAGCATTTCCACCTCTGCGCAACCCCACTTCGAAGAAAAGAGCAAGGTTTCTTTAAGATAATCGGTCATAGCAAGAACTTGACGAACGATGGCTGCTTTTTATAAACACGAATGGACTAAGAAAGATAACAACACAGTTACTCACCATTCCCATACTCTGATACTTTTGTCATCAGAAGTCGTCACGAACCTTCTGTTTTGATCCACAAACGTTATCGTGTTAACCGCGCCAAGATGTCTGAAATGGAGTCAATATTTTAGACAGAGCTCTCTTTAAGGTAACACAACTACATGTACTTTTAAAAGTACGAAGTTCGTGGTTTCGTACATTTGGCTTGCATTTTCGAGGCTTTTTTATTTACGTCTCATATTTACCCTCTTGGAGAATTGCTACCTCACAAACTCAT